GTAGTAACTACTTCCTTTCATTCCATCACATGTACTTAAATGAAATTTGGATTTGTACTTTGAAGTACTTTCAAATAATAATACTTTTACTTAACTTTTCAATTTTGGGTTTAATTTCACTCTGTTGTGTTGGTTCATCTCCAGGCCTGCTTTACTGTTTCACACCTCTTACTTTGGCGCTTTAGCATTTTATTTTAGAGCAAAACGATCCCAAATAGAGAAGAATAGAGTCTAACAAACTTCAGTTCCTGTGCTGATAGATGCTGGATGTACTAAAAAGTTCCACTGCAGTTCTAGAGGGACCCGAGAAGCTTTTTGACCTTGCACTTTTTAACTCCTACTCAGGTTGCTTCTTCTAGATCACTTTTACTTCTGCTTGAGCCATCATTTTATTAAAGAAACAATACTTTGACTTGAGTGTGGGTTCACTACCTCTGATGAGGTCCATGTATGTAAAGGGGGTGAAAGCTTTTGTTAAAGACACTGTGACAGGATTTTTCAACCTATGCTGCCTGAAATGTGACATTTTGACATTTTTTTGGGTGACGTCAGAGATGGAGGGCAATGGAAATCATGACAAATCGCCCCTCCCTTTCAGTTTTGTCCCAACACGACTGTTCACTGTCCGTCTCTGGAGCTTTGCTAAGCTGAAAAGCCCTGTTTGTGCCAAAAGTGGGTCGAAGGCTCAGCTGCCCAAGAACAATGCGCACTGAGGGCGCCGCCACAATGTAAATTAAGGCCCAGTCTCTGGCCCACTGGGGCCTGCTCTAAGTTGGAGTCTGTGTTTATTTCATTCATTTACTCCCTCTTAGGCCCTCGCTGAGGCCGGCCATTACAAACTGAATGCAGTGAGATGTGACTAGGGGTGGGTGATGTGGCGATAAGTTACTGTTATCACAATAAATTACGTCACAACATGCTTTTCTCAGTATATCTTAGATATCGTCAGCACCTCTAGAAAATCTGCATAAAAAGGCAGACATACAGCAATATTATTAATTATAGAGAGCCTGTAAACAACACCAACTAGTGTATACTAACTGCATATTAACAAGTAGCTGATTAGATGTAAGTCTATTAGCAAAGGTTGGACTAAAAAAACTATTTTTAAATGTGGTGCTTAGACTTATCACAATTATTGTCATCTGTTGGGTTGAGACAAATGTATGTAAAGCAAGGGTGTCAAACTCAACAAGTAAAAGGGCCATTTTTAAAAATCTCAATAAATCTGTGGGCCAGAGAAAAAAAATGTTAATTTTTAATTAATGTTGTGCTGTGACCCAAACTAGCCATCGTTTATGCAAAATACACAAAAACTTTAGCAGTATAATACAGGCACTTGTAGTAGACCTTGAAATATTACATGAATACTTGAAATATTCCAAATTTAAACATCCCCAGGAGCTCAGTCTTTCAAACCTACCTATTTGATTGAACTAGACACCTGGCATCCTTGGGCTTAATTCTCGAGACGCTGAGCTAATGTTAAGCGTTTATATTGGTTGAACTGCAGCTGAAATGCATTTGGTGATATGACTGGTGTGGAATTGTGTAGAGTTGTGTAGAATTGAGGTGTAACCGCTGTCCCATAGATCGTTGCTGGGGTAGGAAGGTCTGAGCGCAAATTACATTGCAGTGCATGCTGGGGACTGTAGTGCAGCGCATTGTGAAAGAGGTAAATATTAATAGAAAAATTAAAATACTTTTGCAGGCCAGATAGGGTTGTGTCATGGGCCTGATCTTGTGTTTGGCACATGGGATGTAAAGTAAGGTAGACACTGAGATACATCACGGATCTTATAAAAACAACAAAAGTTTTAATTTCTGACAAAAATTGTTTGTTTATTTGAGCTCCAGCTGTATCTGTTGTCAATTGGGAGCAACCGAGTATCAACAGCTAACTTCAGCCAATTTTAGGCTTGTTGCAAACAATAAATAAAAATGACTATCATATTGTTTGTATGGTGACTAATCATCAGCTAAAATTTACTACTACTACTGTTTTTAGATCATTTTGTCTGTTCCAATCCATCTACAAACTAAATATTGTGATACAAGAAAATGCATTTAAGTATTGGTATGGTACCATAAACAAAGACCAATCACACTGTTCTCAATGCTACACGACATGCTGCATAATTTCCTATATATATATATATATATATATATATATATATATATATACACATATATATATATATATATATATACATATATATATATATATATATATATATATATATATATATATATATATATATATATATATTTAAAGCACAAACACAGTCAACCATTACTGGATTAATTTCAAGAGTAAAAACATTTTAACAATTAATGACTTGCTAATGAACTGTTTTCATAGATGGAGTTTGCATGTCTCTGCATGATAAAGCATACAGCAAGCTACTGTAATATATATGACAAAACACCACTGATGTGATGAGACAAAGTGATTAAAATTCTCAATTTTCTCAGTGTTCTGATTCATACTTTGTGAAAATATTTTTTCTGCCTTTCCTTTGTGTTATACTGTAATACGTTCTGTTGTAATATAGCTGATCGTCAGCTAAATACACAGATCAATAAAAGAAATGCACTGATTTGCATGCAAAGACGTATTATTCTTCAATCCTTATACTCATACTCACCCATGTCTCACTGCGGTTTATTCCTCCATGCCTTTGTTTAAGGAAAGTTGACTTGTTCTTCTTTGTAAGACCGGTTCTACTCCTACATACCCAACACAGGCACGTCCAGTTGACTGTTGCATATTTGTTTTTAAAAAAAATCTGAAGGGTGTGTCTGAAAGAGTGCAATGAAAAAAGTTTCAGTTAGGGAAAAAAGCCTCTATTCTATACACAAAACCTGACTGCTATCTGAACAAGCAACCCATTGATAAACAGGTTTGGGCCAAATGCCATGAAAAAGTAGTGATTTTCTCTGTCATTGCCTGCTTCAGTCCACTGTTGTTAGCTTGATCATCTCTCAAAAGAGCGCAGTAACACTCAGATTAATAACTGATCATCACATTGATTTATCAGTCTACTCAGGCTTTAGCAGAGCTCAGTAACACAGATTAATAATTGATCATCACATTGATTTATCAGTCTACTCAGTCTTTAGCAGAGCTCAGTAACACTGAGATTAATAACTGATCATCACATTGATTTATCAGTCTACTCAAACATCAGCAGAGCTCAGTAACACAGATTAATAATTGATCATCACATTGATTGATCAGTTTACTCAGTCTTTAGCAGAGCTCAGTGACACTGAGATTAATAACTGATCATCACATTGATTTATCAGTCTACTCAAACATCAGCAGAGCTCAGTAACACTGAGATTAATAACTGATCATCACATTGATTGATCAGTTTACTCAAATGTCAGCAGAGCTCAGTGACACTGAGATTAATAACTGATCATCACATTGATTTATCAGTCTACTCAGGCTTTACCGGAGCTCAGTAACACTGAGATTAATAACTGATCATCACATTGATTTATCAGTCTACTCAAATGTCAGCAGAGCTCAGTAACACTGAGATTAATAACTGATCATCACATTGATTTATCAGTCTACTCAAATGTCAGCAGAGCTCAGTGACACTGAGATTAATAACTGATCATCACATTGATTTATCAGTCTACTCAGGCTTTAGCAGAGCTCAGCAACACTGAGATTAATAACTGATCATCACATTGATTTATCAGTCTACTCCGGCTTTAGCAGAGCTCAGTGACACTGAGATTAATAACTGATCATCACATTGATTTATCAGTCTACTCCGGCTTTAGCAGAGCTCAGCAACACTGAGATTAATAACTGATCATCACATTGATTTATCAGTCTACTCTGGCTTTAGCAGAGCTCAGTGACACTGAGATTAATAACTGATCATCACATTGATTTATCAGTCTACTCTGGCTTTAGCAGAGCTCAGTGACACTGAGATTAATAACTGATCATCACATTGATTTATCAGTCTACTCAGTCTTTAGCGGAGCTCAGTAACACTGAGATTAATAACTGATCATCACATTGATTTATCAGTCTACTCAGTCTTTAGCGGAGCTCAGTAACACTGAGATTAGTAACTGATCATCACATTGATTTATCAGTCTACTCAGTCTTTAGCGGAGCTCAGTAACACTGAGATTAATAACTGATCACATTGATTTATCAGTCTACTCAGTCTTTAGCGGAGCTCAGTAACACTGAGATTAATAACTGATCATCACATTGATTTATCAGTCTACTCAAACATCAGCAGATCTCAGTTACACTGAGATGAATAACTGACCATCATATTGGTTTATCAGTCTACTCCGGCTTTAGCAGAGCTCAGTGACACTGAGATTAATAACTGATCATCACATTGATTTATCAGTCTACTCAGTCTTTAGCGGAGCTCAGTAACACTGAGATGAATAACTGATCATCACATTGATTTATCAGTCTACTCAAATGTCAGCAGAGCTCAGCGACACTGAGATTAATAACTGATCATCACATTGGTTTATCAGTCTACTCAAACATCAGCAGATCTCAGTGACACTGAGATGAATAACTGACCATCATATTGGTTTATCAGTCTACTCCGGCTTTAGTAGGAACTTCAGTTTGTCAAGAAGTCACTAAAAAGGTCCTTTTTAGCATGTTTGCTACATTATATGCACTGATTCTTAAATACTTAACAAGCACTGATAATGTTTCTTTTAAAGATGGCATATATTGTTTAATTTAGTGGGTAAGTAGTCTTAAAATATTCTCTTAAAATGCAAAACAGTAACTGTATTCTGAATACTGGCTTTACAGAATAATTTCTCTATTCTGAATATGTATTCCCAATACTTGTATTCCGTTACATCCAAACCCTGCTAATAAATAAACGTATTAATATGAAAAAGTAACTGTTTAACATTTAATAATCACAGTAAAGTTTGAGAAAAGTCCATGATACCAAGCCGAGCTCGACCTCGTAGCTTTCCGTAGTTTAAATCCTCTCTACCTCTAACCTCTCTCAACTCCCTCAGGTTTACACTCAGAGTTGTTGTTGTAGCTAGCCAGCTAGCTAAAGAGGGCGATGTTTTTTGAGAATAAAGTGTTGTCTGGCGGTTAAACTGGATTAAACACGACAACATGAGCTGGTATGTATCGTAACTAAGTCTTGTATGTGTTAGTGTGGTGTACTAGTTGAGTAAACAGGGCGCTGTTGCGGCTGGTTTTGGTAAACATTAAGCTAGCAAGTTCGCTAACTTATGCTAGCCGGCTTGCGTTTTGGCAGAAAGTAACTAATGGTTTATACATTCAGACATTTCAGGAACATGTATTAACAGTCTTTGCCTTTTCCAGCTCTGCCTGCAGAAGTTAGCTGTCCTAAAATGTGAAAACGTGTTAACGTTTTGTTATAACTTGGCTCGAAAGTCACTTAGCTAGCTAGGTTAGTTAGCTGTTGCCTCCTACTGTAGCCTCACTGCTAAGCTCAAGCTACTGACCAGCACTCAGGCTGGTTAGATATATGTTATTCTTCTTTTTTAGCTCATTTAACCGACTATTTTGTTTTAGTTTGGTAGATACATTATTTAGCGAATCAACAGGTGTTTTCCAGTGTAGAGTTGAACATTTTCATAAGCGTTTCGTGGTGGCTAGGTGACTCTTAGCTCCACACAGAAGTTAAGCTGAAGTTTTATATCAACCACGTTAGCTAGAGAGCTAACTAACCTAGCTGGGTTAGTTTACTGTCGATGTAGTCGAACCGGGTCATTTAACGTCGAACTTGGATCAACAGTTCTTGTCGAGACGTTTCGGAAAGACGTCGAATAACTGTCAAGTTAAGTGAAGAAAAAGGACGATAAAGGGGGATAAGAAGAGAAATTCTGTAGGTTTTCCAGACCTCCTATCTAGTTCTGTAGTTGAGATATAAACAGTCATTCAGAGTGGTTTGATGTAAACACAGTTCACTGTAGAGACACTTACAGACTTGAGCTTTCCTTCGTGGTGTTAGGAACCAGTGGGTGCGATGTCTACAGTGGACAAATAGCCATTTTATTTACTGTCCAAAGTGACCAGTGACCACACACTTGTCATCTGAGGTAGCAGTGTAATGTCGACGATGGTAAAATAGTGTTAAATGTGAAAAACATGTTTTCTTTGGGGGGCTATCTGGCCCTGCAAGTGCCTCTCCACCATGAGCAGTGTGTTTTAGTTTAATAGTAACTATTTGATCTACTAACTCCGTGATGTAGGTTTCAGAAGCATTAAAATGGGAATCCCACTGATTTTTCAAAAAATTTAAACAAAGTAATTCAGAGTGGTTTAAGGTGAAATGATTTGTTCTAGAGAAAGTTACAGGCTCGTATTTCTTTACAGTGGTGGTGATGGGAACCAGGGGTCACCCTGTCTACAGTACAAACATAACCAATTTATTTACTATCCAAAACGGCCAGTGAACCTATTCATGCCTTCTGAGTTTTCGCATGTGGTGTTGATCATAATAAAATAGTGGAAAATCTAAAAAAATACATTTTCTGGGGGGACTAGTTTGACTTACAGCGCCCTGCGTACCCCTTCACCATGAACGGATTCAAATAAATGGCTTACCGAGACGTTTTAGGCCAAAACTTTATCACAAAACTGATGTAAAACAATGTCTCAGAGATCAGGCAGTGTATATCTGATCACTTCAACTTATATCTCCGTGAGGGAGCGTTCAGTGGCATTAAGCTCTTCAGACGTCTGGTTCCGATCACCACCACTGTGGACTATTCTGGCTCGGTAAGCTTTTCTAGAATGGATCATTTTGCACCCAACCGCTCTTAATGACTTTGTTTTACTTTGTCTTAAGCATAAAGTTTTGTCGAAATGCTGAAAAATTGGTGGAGTTCCCTTTAAACACATAGCAACCTGTATGTTTCTACGCAAGAAAGAGCAGCTTCTGTAAAGCTGACTGGACAAATTTGACTTTTAGGCTTTTTAGCCACAGTTTTCCAAAGAAAATATAGATGCCTGTGAAGTGTTTGTCTGGGGTTATGTGAATGCAACGTTCAAACAGGAGGCAGTTTGAATGTGCAACTTCAAAATAAACTATGCTTGTTAGGTTTTTGCACCAGTGACATTAACTGATGAAAATCATCTACCTAATTCAGTAAAAGTAGTATTAAAAACAATATAAGCCTCCAGAAAATGGTAATGAGTGACCCTTGAAAGAGAGCGATCCAGTTTAAAATTTCAATATGTTGTTTTATAATTTCTTAAGATATTGCATTAAAATCATTACACCCTTATAGGCGAGATATTTAGGTGGTGAAACCATGTGTTTTGGTTTCTTTTGGTTATTCTGTGGACTGTGCTTTAAAACCTTGATTTTAAGCAACAAACATCACTTTTATGCCTTTATCATCATTGATAATGAATCTCTGAATCTGTCCAGTCTGTTCACCCTCCAAGCAGATAGACTAAACAGAGTCTGAAGTATTTGTGTTTGTCTGTCATACTCTCTGTAGTCTTGAGTTCAGGTTAATCAAGTTCAGCCTTTTCCTTGTGACCTCATCCAGTAGTTCTTTGACCTAGTTTCAGTTATTCTTAATATTTTACTCAAGCCTGATATCTTCAGCCTGGATTGTTCACTGTTTCTCATCTGGAACCAACTTCCGAACCTCACTGGTTCAGCTTCTTTTGTTACATCCTACGTGGCTTAAGACCAGTCTGTGCACATTATTGTACAAGTCAGTCTGTCAGATTATCAAGAATGAGTGAGTGCGTGCTTGGGAAAGTAATGACAGGACATTATAGAGGCTTAGCCTAGTTTACGTCTGCCTTTAGGCCCAGTTACAAGTAAGAACATCAGTAACGGCAGCTAATGCGCTAGTGATTTTAACACAAGAAGAGCGGTAGCTTCATTTATGACTATGTAAACAGTACTCTTGAATTAGGCAATCCAATTTTTTATCCCCAGTTCTATCCACCTACTTCTGTGTTGAGTATTGGCCAATAACGATCCAATCCAGTCTTTATCTTCGTAGATAATACAGCCATACCAGTTAGGTAAGATGCTGAAGGCCATTGAATACTACAGTAAAATTACCAATTGTGTACCTTAAATATGTTTTTTTTTCCCAGTAGATATTTGTACATTTTCATAACCTAATGTTTTAAAACAGAACAATAAAATAAAAAGCCTGGAGACGAGACAGGGTGTGTGGAGTCAATACAACTTAAAAATATAATTTCAATGAATTATGCTACAGTTATACTCCCTGACTAAAGGTACTGAGATGTACCCTTGAGGAGACCACCCCAGTCACAAGAGGGGTACTGCCCCAGTGACAGCCCCAGAGTGTATAGTGTGTTTAATATTGACTTATCATCGTATGTAATGATTAGGCTATCAGTATCAGTTTTCATATGTGTGTAGTAGCATACTTTCTGACTGTTAATACATTTTTGAAACTAACGTCAAATATCCGTTTGATAGAACATGGATTCCTATTTCTCAAGTGCTCCTTTGTCTTGGTTTTGAATGTGCCGTTTCTGCTGTTTCTTGTTTGAAGAAAGAAGCAGCGCAGTAGTTTCATTTTCAACCAGTCTCATGAAAAACATGGCAGGAATTTTGTTTATGTTTTTCTGGTGGCATGCCGCTCAAGGCAAGTGGCAGAAAGTAGACTTGAAGCCTAACAGCCGCTCACTCACATTTTTAGTGTTTCGACGAAACGTGGCTCAAAGGCCGTATATTTGGCGCTGCAGATATTACAAGTTCTCATTTTCTGTAAAATACTTTCACGCTGCAAACATTTGACCTCTTTGTTCATTTCTGGAGGTACACCTCGCTTCTGCAGGATTATAGATAATGTCTGTTTTTGTTGCCTCTACAACAGTGCTGTGAATAGAACGCTGAATCGGAGCTGGGTTAGGTTTGATGTCTAGGTCAGCTCCTTCAGTTTGAATCAAGACATTGCTACTTTGTACATCAGTCATGGAGGTAATGGTGTGCTGGGATTAGCCCTGTATGTCTCTTTCCTTAAATAAAACTCACTGATAATCTGGTAAACTCTAAAATGTTTGTTTCCAGTTTGAAATCCAACTGGAAACAAAACATTTGTACCAGAAACAAAGAAAAATCGTCCATTGAAAGAAAATTTTGGCAAAGGCTGAATACAGAGCCAAGCAGACAACAGCCATGAAGGCAAAGAAGTCATGTAGAACAGGAAAAGAGTACTCAGCGTCGCTACTGTCCTCCATCTTGGATTTTCATCTGTCTTCTGCCTGCACGTTTCTATTGGTTGACCTGCCTCCACGTCAAAATCCGTTGCAGCAAAAGTTGAAATGGTTTAAACTTATTCAACGTTCGACAAAGCGTCTTTTGCTGCATGTAGACACGTTTCTAGTCTGACAAAACTGAAGCAGCGTCCTAAATGTAATACACCAGGGGGCTGTGTTTCTGAAGCTGCGTCAGCTTTTACTGTGTAGGCACCTAATTCATTTTGGTCAGTATAGATTGTATGTTAATCATATCACTTTTTGTTAAATAATGCATCGCAGTTCATATTAATTAGGGTAACAGAGAGAATGAATGAAGGAATAAATTAATAAATTAATAAAAACTTAAAAACTAGCAAATGAAGAATAGGCTAATAGTGAAATGGTGCTTGCTGCCCATTGTGCAGACAGACTATATAATTTAGAGCTCTGTAAAGCTGCAAAACAGTTTTGCTACACAGTCCTGTTAACAGTCGAACAAGTAGACCAAATAAGCGATAAGTGATGTGTGAAATTCAGCGACAGGTCTCTATTAAACTTCGGTATTTTTTACTGTCTGGTTTTCTGACCAAGCTGGACCCAGACATTAAACATGGCCTTGTCCTTTTTCCCTTTCATGCTTCATAAATGTACCCCACCCCCCTTTTACCCATGTAGGGTTATGCATCTTGACACAAACTGGACAAATCAACGTCATAGTTGCAGCGACAGTCTGATGCTGAGGTTGGAGGTTGGAGCTTTGCTTCCTTTGGGGGGGAGGGCTTTGAGGGCTGGCCTCTTTTAATTATTCCTATCAGAACCAGTTTTGCATGGTAAGGGTGTAGACTCAAACAAAGTGGAAGCAAAGCGTGACGTCATGGTGGACGGCTGTGAGGTCAGTTTCTGGCAGAAG